TTACAAGCGCCTGTGACTAGGCCGATACATAAAGTGTTAAGTCCGCGAAGTGGTCGACCTGTTGAGGTCGACTAAACTGCTCGATCGTTTACCTGGTCGGATGATGAATTGGTCGACTGGTTTACTGGTCGACTGGTTTACTGGTCGATTTTCCCGCCACTCGGCTCGATTTCTTCACGGTATAGCCTCTTCGACCAGTTCAGCATACCAGTTTAGCCTTGTGGGTATAATATCCTACACCAGAGTGTTAATTCTTGAATATACATTTTTCGCGGACTTTCATACATTATATGTTAATTATATCACCTTATGCTTCTAGCATTAAGGACTCAATCATTCCCTAGGGATTTTGCTTACTTTGTAAGGACTCAATTTATATATATATAAATTGCTCACTCCATTATTACTATAAATTTCATTTAGCAAAAATATAATATAAAATTTCACATATTTCATGACATTAATAAATTTATGCTCATATCTCCCTCCTAATGCTGTGAAATTATCTTCATATATTATGCATAACACGTACCAAATAATAAATTGACCCCTTATAATGGCCTTTAGGTAATAAAAATCCGACGGAGTATAAAAATCATGGTATACCTAGTTTGTAATATAGGCCCATAAAGGTACGAATTGGTGGTGATATAAGATTGTGCATAGTAAAATAATAAATCGCAGATGGGAAATGTTTTGTTTTCCACACACCATTTGGGAAAAGTTATGATAAATCATTACTCAATATGATCCAACTGCTCATGCTAATTATCAAATATATAAGTTGCGCATCAAATTATAATAATTAAATTCTAAGTGAATACTATATGCTTCAGGCATTACATGTTATAACTCTTCTGGAGTATTACAATTGAATTATGAGATATTTCATAAGTTATATAATAATTTTCCTCTAACATTAAAAATAATCCTCATCTAGAGGATAATGTCTACTGGACATATCATACGTGTTACCACTTTCAAATCTTAACAATTAATGTGAAGAATAATAGGATACATATCAAACAAGATATGCTCATAAATAAGGACAATTAATTCCAGTAAATATATAGTCTTATATAATAGAGATAATTTTCTATCATATGTCTCATATGATAAACTATACTTTTATACATGTGCTTCTGGCACTAAATATTTCTTTTCATATCACATGGGTTAATCCATAAATATCCACATGTCCACGTACCAAATAATTTTCTCAATAGAAAAATTCAAATATTTATCAATATTGGTCTTAAAAATGAAGTTATCATTAAATTGAGTAGCATGAATGTGAAATAAGTTTATTTCGGTAAACACAACTTATTCTATTTGGCAAAAACTTACAAGTTAAAAAAATTCTTGCTAAACACCATGCTTGATAATAATTGAGTAGCTTTGTTATTAACTAGTATGGTCTACTTTAAGAAAATTTAATTATTAATAAATTTTATAGGGGTTATTCATTATTTAGTTATGCCAATCAATGACTAATATTATACTTGAATTAGCTATTCCACAAAAGGCACTCATTTTCAAATTTGATATTAATCATTTAGCAGACCTTACCTTTTTCTTGGACAACCATCTCTACCGTGGAGACAGTGACGGCAATGGCAACGGGAAGCCGGATGATTCGGATCGGAGACACAAACTCAAATTCAACTCCACGCCCGATATCTCATCGGCGTCCCGCCGTTGGACGTTCTGGACTAAGGCGTCTTTCTCGGCGGCAACTAGAAAGGGATGTTGAAGTGGCGGCTATTGTTTCTGTAATTAATCATGATATCAACATCCATGGTTGCCGGCGAAGTAATTTGATTTTTTTTACACAGTACAAAAAAATAACAATTTGTAATAATTCGATTTTTGATACAGAGGATTGTCTATAAGACGCAATAGTAGAGCATACTCTCCTCATATTCAAAGTCGAGCTTTACAGGACAGAGACTCGTGCTGATAACGTGTTATAAAACTAAGGAGAAATAAAGAGAATTAATAAGATTCTATTCGTTGTATTTGAAGCTCCTATTTATAGAAAATCTTCTGATGGCACAATCGTAATAATACAATTACATCAAAACAAAATAGTCATTCATATATATTATTTTATAATAAAGTAATTATTTGTTAGTTGGTGGTTAAACCACCCATATCCTCCCTATATATAATTCTCGAATGCGCTGAGCCTACGTGGCTGTTTCTGGTGCTTCGAAATCCTACTTGGCGAAGAATCATGCTTCGTAATTAGGTTTTGACAAATAATATTGATATATTAATAATTAATAATCTAGGTTCGGGTATTCCATAAATATTATTTAGCTAACTTAGGTATTTTAATATCACTTTTACTAATATAACCCTTTAATTCTTTATAATTTAATATAGTGTCACTAAGTGACTAAAATATCCCTGAATTTTGATTTGTTTCCTTCAATAAACTATTGAATTATAAATGTATTTTAAAAGTTGATAACTTTTGTATTTCTTATCGGTTTTACATATATAATATATCAGATTAATCATCTTTTGATGATCTTCGATTTGACATCCATATTGTATATATGAAATAAATAAATTATATTTATCTTTATAATAATAAAAATAATAATATTTATTAAAATTCATTAGAAAAATAAAATTATTTCTAAATTGATATATTTATATTTAATGTAGTTATATATTGTAAGTTAAAAAAATTAGTATAATATAACACAGGTAAGTCGCACAAATAAAAAGTGTCATAATAAATATATAATAGTATATATATTCTTATAAAAGGTATTTAAATTTTCAAATTACTTTTTCTCATTAATTTTAGATTAAAAAAAAAATAGCAAGCACCCGTGTAATACACGGGTGTTGTACTAGTTTACAATAAATACAAATGCCAATCACTGACTAATATTATATTTGAACTAGCTATTCCACAAAAGGCACTCATTTTCAAATTTGATATTAATCGTTTACCAGACCTTACCTTTTTCTTGGACAACCATCTCTACCGTGGAGACCGTGACGACAACGACAACGGGAAGCCGGATGATTCAGATCGGATTCAAATCGGAGAACAAACTCAAATTCAAATCCATGCCCGATATCTCATCGGCGTCCCGCCGTTGGACGTTCTGGACTAAGGCGTCTTCCTCGGCGGCAACTAGAAGTTAATCATGATATCAACATCCATGGTTGCCGGCGAAGTAATTTGATTTTTTTTTACACAGTACAAAAAAATAACAATTTGTAATAATTTGATTTTTGATACAGAGGATTGTCTATAAGATGCAACTGTAGAGCATACTCTCGTCATATTCAAAGTCTAGCTTTAGAGGACAGAGACTCGTGCTGATAAGGTGTTATAAAATTAAAGAGAAATAAAGAGAATTAATAAGATATTCTATTCGTTGTATTTGAAGCTCCTATTTATAATAAATCTTCTGATGACACAATCGTAATAATACAATTACATCGAAAACAAAATAGTCATTCATATATATATTATTTTATAACAAAATAATTATTTGTTAGTTGGTGGTTAAACAACCCATATTTATAATAAATACAAATGCCCTTCCAAATAAAATTTCGACCCACCAGAAGAAAATGCACCAATCGAAGCTCATACTTAGTTCAGGTATAATCTAAAACAACTTATAGAGAAGGTTTAGTCATATTATTATGTCATATGTCAAGCAAAAACTAATAAACATGTATGGATGATTTTTAGACTAGTTTAACTTAACAAGTTTGAGCTCATGCTCAATCGACTTTACGAGAGCGTAATCAACTTTACGAGCTTGATCCCACACTTTTGAGCTCATTAACACTCTGCTGAACTGAAGCTCGATAATTCATTCTGACAAAATGTTCGTATCGGCAGGGTCAATAGGAACCCCTTTAGCATCTTTCTCCTTTCTTCAAGCAATGGATTGGTCAACATAAATTAAAATAATACAAGTCCAGGCAATCGAATGAAGTGTCAACTACAACAACTACCCCAAATCCAATGTGACCACTAATAATAAATTTGGAAACACCTGCAGCTCAATACTATTCCATTTCCACAGCATTTTCTTTCAAAGTTATTGGAGAAATATAGACTTCGGAAATAAGAGTGCGACGGTGTATATACATAGCACCATCAGTTATTATCTTTTTTTTCGCAGTACTTTTATTCATAAAAGAAGAAATCCTTCGAATTCGGTAGGTGAGTTCTGACGAGTGACATTTTCTCCAGCAGCACCATATACTTTACCTTATTAGGGGAATAAGCAGATACTCGGCATAAAACAGCTGCAAAGCGAATAAAAAAAAAA